GTTCCAGACAAGTACTGTAGCATCCTTTATTGGACCACAATCACAGCTTTTTTTTTTTTTTTTTTTTTTTTTTTTTTTTTTTTTTGAAATCTGCTGTTCCTGGATAGACAAGGGCCCTGACTGAACTGCTACCTAAAGGCAGCCCGAGCTTCAACTGCAATTGAAACTCGGGCCCTGACTCAACTGCTAAAACGCAGTTTCAAATGCAATTACAAACTGTAACCCTGACTGCGCCGAAGTTACCCCTTCTTTTTTTTTTAAATAACTATCGCCGGAGCATGCCTTTCTTTTTTTTCAAGGTAAGTGGGACTTGGCCCCTGAAGTGTAGCAGCAAATATACAGGTCCACCCCTGTATGTTTCATAAGATATCTGAAAGCGCAGCAGAAAATTAATACCGTTTTTGTTTGTTTTTTTTTCCAAAAGTTTCTATGCAGGTTTACTGGGTGTTACCCTCTTCTGGAACATGGAACCCATCCGCAGGGCCTGAGGCAGACACTCCAAGGCCACTGGGTCCTTTGTTACGAAAGAAGGGGCACAGCCTGGTATGGTTATACCAAACATGAAAGCTGCAGGCAAAATTTATCTGCCTAGAAACTTTTCAAAAAAAGTGTATTTCTGACACCTGCCCCCAAAAGGGCCAAAAAGTGCGAAAGGACCCCCAAACAAATCTTCTTGCTCTAGTAGTAGACGAATTTCGACAAACTGACTTCAAAGGGAATCAATCATCAGCAACATCATGCCAGAGAACCATTCGACAGACTGAATTTAAAGGGCATCAATCATCAGCAACATCATACCAGAGAACAATTCGACAGACTGACTTTAAAGGGAATCAATCATCAGCACCATCATACCAGAGAACAATTTGACAAACTGACTTCAAAGGGAATCAATCATCAGCAACATCATACCATAGAACAACTAACTCCGACAGCCCGGCGTGCACAAATAGCGAGAAAGTGTTTTACACGCCCAGCAGGGGCCCTGTGCAAAAATGACGTGTAAAGTTCTTTTGGAAAATCGGGACCTCCTGCACTTTTCGCCCCGTCTGCGGCTGGGACCCACTAGCGCCGTTTCACAATGGCGGCCTCGTGATTTAGGTCATCAGTGGCAAGAGGTGACAAGCTTTGACCATTGATGCGGAAGAATATCGACGGGCATAGTGTTCCTGAAGGGGAAAGTCATAAAACCTCCCCGCGAAGAAACCTTTGTACCATCCATCTCCCCCCAAAGAAGGGAAAAAGGTGCCCCAGGTCCAAAATCACTTTTGGTGTCATTTTTAAACACTGGCTGGGCCGGTAATGGCCGCTGTGTAAAAATGAAGGGAAAGTGTTTCGCAGGGTGCAAAAACTAATGACGAGGAAAGGGATTTTGGGGCCTGCGGCACCTTTTCCCCCCGTTGGGGGGATATGGATAAGCGTTTTGCAGGGTGCAAAAAAGACGTGGAAAGTGATTTTGGGGCCTGCGGCACCTTTTCCCCCTGTTGGGGGGAAATGGATACAAAGGTTTCGTCGCGGGGAGGTATTATGACTTTTTCCGTTTCTGAAAGTCGTGGCTTTTGCAATGCACGTTTCCTCCAATCAGCGGCTCAGAATATCGGCGGTTTTTGCGTTTTTTTTTTCATTAGAATTTGACTGTAGCACTGTTGCAAAAAACTCACCTTTTTGGAGGTAGGGGGGGGTTGATACTGCAACTGTGCTACAGTGCTTCTTTGCCTCCAAACACACACAAAAAGGAAACGAAGTTGTGTGTACTGCCAGTGCAGAGTCTGACCATCAGAGGACGCCGCCCATTGGCTGACAGAAGGACCCATCGTGAAAAACAGGCTTAAGTACTCACTGGCTCCCAGCTCATTGGCTGACGGGAAAACCAAGAGAATGCAAGACATTTGGCCTATAGTACCAAACCGCTAAACTTTGGGCGGCCAAAACCGAAAAGGTTTTGGCGTGGGTGCCTTCTACCGATTATCCCCTCTCTCTCTCTCGCTCTCGGGTGCGTTTCCATTGTGTATTCGGAAACGGGAATGGATTTTCCCGCGAAAGCGGGAAGATTCATTCCCCTTCTCCTTCTTAGCACACAGAGAGAGAGAGAGCGAGAGAGAGAGAGAGAGAGAGAGAGAGAGAGAGAGAGAGAGAGAGAGAGAGAGAGAGAGGGGCGGCGAGTTCGCCGCGGCCCTCCTAGCAGACCGCTGCCTCTCTCTCTCTCTCTCTCTCTCTCTCTCTCTCTCTCTCTCTCTCTCTGTGTAGCGTGACTTCGTTTTTTCCCTTTCATTTTCTTTTTTTTTTACTTTTGTGTATTTGAATCTTTTTTTTTCTTTTTCTTTGATCTTTTATTTTTTGGTGTCATGCCCAGTGAACCGGGGCCCGGCCATTCAGCAACGACTGGACATTCCCTTCCATGAATCCCCGTCGGCGGCGGCCAAGCGCGGCCGAATCCGTGGACGCGGCCAGGCCGCCGACCCCACGGACGCGTCTGCGCGGACGTGCGGCTTTGAAGCCACGTGGCGGCCAGTGGGGAGGGGGGTTGGGGATTCTGGAAGCGCCATGGGGCGGCGCAAACCCAGCCCCACCCCCTTGGAAAAAAAAAAAAAAAAACAACAACAACAATTTTTTGGTTGGAGGGGTTCGGATGAGTAAAGGCTGTGAAACCACGCACTGATTGAGCGCGGGGTCGGAGCTCAAATTTCCGCTCAATCCCGCGCTCGAAAGCGCTTGAGCGGGGTTTGAGCGGGCGGCGGAGTATCCTTTTGAGATCTACAACCTCGTAGTTTTCATTTTATTTTTTGAAGTCTTTCTGTATTTTTCAAAAATAAAAAGGGAAATTTTTGAAATGCCCCTGAAGCTTGCGTTTATTTGCGGCGTGCCCCTCTGGCGGCCAACTTACCTTGTCTTTCCCCTCTGACGACGAATGATGTTTCCAGAATACCCCTGGGGTCGTTTGGGCCTCAAAAATGTTTCATATGCCCCTACCGATACCGGTACCAAATTTTCAGTATGCCCCTACTGGCTGCCCGTTGAGAAACAGCAGTACAGTTTCCCTTATGCCCTTACCGGTACCGTCCATCTTTCCAGCAAGCCCCTGTTGCCGCTGTTGACACTTGAAGTCCCTACAGAGGGAAGAGGAGGGAAGAGGAGGGAAGGGGAGGGAAGAGGAGGGAAGA